AAAAGATCAAAGAATATTCAAAAGAAAAGTTTGTTTGCTCTGTCAATCTTAATGTGCACGTTTCGAGTATGTAATACAGGAATACATGACTTAAATTAATAGTAATAAATAAGCATTTAATTAGACGAAATCAGAATAGAAAATGATCGTGACAAATAACACTCTATTTTCCTTTTTTATACAGCTTAGACCCAAATTCGACTAAGTGTGGTAGACAAAAAAATGAAAAATTAATTAAGTTTATTAACAAAAGCAATGGATGGATATATTAGAGCAATTTTACTTTAAAAGCATACTGTTTGAAAACGTTAAACATATTTTATATCATAACATTTTAAGAACATTATTATTCATATTTAGAGACTTAAAAACTACTTAACATTTTTCCAATTCCGTAAATATAAAACCTAGTTTAACAGATCATAAACTAAAGTTTATAAATGCGCAGCTGTAACTCACTATTGCGTAAACACAAAAGTAAACGCAAACGTCGTAAGAAAAGTCGTAAGTTTTAAAACATTGGACATATGGTTCGTAAAAACGTGGCGACGGTTGGCCAGATAACGAGCGAATGATTCAAAGTGACGAACAGTAGACAAGCGGAACAGTCAGCCAGTCAGTCCATAGACCAGAATAATGTGAGAGGAGATGAATACCACATGTGTCAGCAATGGGTGGTTTTTAACGAGTGGGAAACAGCCTTTGTAGAAAGTTCTGGGATTTTTGGATCCTCCGAAGGTGTGAAGCACAACTGAGCTTGAAATTTGAATTTGCTTTTTTCCGGTTTTGGATATTTTTCCTTTCCAAGTTCGACTGCCTTTGAACTTTAACATTGTTTCTTGATCTTCTATCGGCTGAGAGTGGTACGGTAGCCCAAGGCTCCCAATCACACTTTCTATGTCATGATGTTTACCTAAGCATGAATGATGCAATAAATAATATGAATCAATATTTGCGACACTGATTTGATCTACAAATTTAAATTTGAGATAGCAACCCAGGAAAAGAGGAATGCCAAAGTTCTCTAGCAAACACCTAGTGAAATGAACATATTGTAGAGAATGCAGCACAGCCAGCTGCACTACCCCACTTTCTCTCATCGCTCCGATCTGCATTTGCACAGATTTTTTCTCTATCCATTATTCGATTATATTTGAGACTCACATTGTTGAAAGTGCACCTGTACGCGCATATGTAAATCATTCATAGCAGTGTCGTGACAAAAGCAAAATTACATAAGAATTAGAGAATACATGCATTATTACCTAATACTATTCCCAGTCACTGCAAGTACCTCAAAACTATGAAAAGCGCATCTGAGGACGAATCTTGGGAAAAAATGGAATGGAATGAAAAGATTTAGCATCTGTACAGCGGCGTAGATATGCCCTGTTTTATAGGGACTATGGCGAGAAAAGGTCTCATATTTCAATTCCGGATGTTATCCAGGAAAACAACCTGAATGGATCTTGGTGCTGTTTGCTCTATTGCAGCATATAGCTCCTTCGGTTAACGATCTTATACAACTAGTGTTTGCATGATTTGATGCCTCACTTGAGAAAATGTCAAAAAAAAGGAGTATTATTGAAGTGCAAAACAAGAGAAAAAGAAAAAAATTTTTGAAGAGGAACTTTGAGTGATATCGATGATTTACCAGCATGTATAAATAAATAATCATTCGGCCTCAGTAAACGTGATTCCAATGAAATTTAAGAAAGTTGGTAATGCTCAAAGTTGTAATCAAAAAATACTAGGATTATGAGATTTGTTTCTCTAGAAAAACTATTCATTA